TATATATATATATATATATATATATATATATATATATATATATATATTATATACTATACAAAAAAATTATATGCCTGTTTTAATTTTAATTTTTTTTCCATTGTAAATAGATAATATGTTAAAAGATGTTACGGTGTGTTTTGAAAATTCTCTGTAAGAATCCAAACGATGATAATGATAAAAAAAATAAAATAAAAAATAAAAAAAAATAATGAAATAAACATAGTATGCGTGTTATTTTTTCCTTTAATTCTCAATTTGTATTTTAATAAGTTAACTGCTATTGCAGAACTGTTTCAAATAATAATGACGACTATTAGTAATTGACTTTTTTTTGTAGGGCATAGTCCTGCAACTAATGAACAGCATTTCATCAATTCCTTATAATATTATTAAGTGCCTTGTTATACATTATATCAATATTATATGTGTGTGTGTATGTACTAAAACTGTAACAGAGAGGTTTTACGTTTTATATACTTTTTGCCGGATACAACAACGCCGTTATTTCCTTCGCCACTCGCGTGTAAGTTAAGTTGACTACACCGCACGCATTAGCAATAACCTTTTTTTTATTAGTAGCAGTTATAGTCATTACCTATACTCATTTACTCGGTCACACTCTTGAACAAACATTCAATACACGATCATACTTACGACTTGCGAGCGAGTTGCTTTTGTTGGTACGTAAATTTGGGAGTTTATCTACTCTGCATGCACACGTCGAAAAGCATAGCTGAAACAATTTAATTAAAAACAAAAACAATTACTTACATAGACAGATATAATAATTAACAAAAACAACAATATTCATATGTATATGCATAGTTATACGTAAATTTGGAATATTACCATGTACCTATTGTGATGGTGATTAGTACAACCTGTATATATGTAGGTACATAAACGTTTTCACGAAATGTATGGTCGGATATAGGTTTAAATATAGCGATTAGGTAATATTATATATTGTCTTAAGCACTAGAATCACTGTCAGAAATAAAATCTATACCGTGTTTTTCTGCATAAATTTTGTTAGTGATAAGTTATTACTAATAAGTAATAACTATAATAATCAATTCAAAATGTATATCTATAAAATCCATTTAGATTTAGGGTAGAGCAATAAAAAATAATATAGTAAACCTAGTTCTATGGTATTATTTTGCAATTTTAAAATAATCTATTTTTCAAAACTTTTACATCAGTGAAAGTTGTGAAGATAATCAACTGTAGAAAATATTGAGATTTGTCTCTATTTTGACCTGCATTTTTTTTTTTGTAAAACTAGGTTGCAGTAGGACTATGAGTTATTTTCTGGAAGTGCGATAATCCAATGTCATATCTTTCTAAGAGATACATATTATGTTAAGTGTAAGTGTATTATATAAATGCACATATTATTATGATGCTTATTGTGGTTGTATGCCAAACATTGGTCATGGACTGTGCTGTAATTTGAAGTATTATTATACTTTGATAAAAACTCGATCTGTTAAGCTTACAAATGTAAAAAAAAAAAAAAAATGTTTTATTTTTGTTAATAACTTTATGGAGACTTTTGATTGATTAATCGTCCACTCTGTAGTTTTTACGGCTCAGGTACTTTTTTAAGATAATATAATATAATAATACTGTCTACGTAACGCATGCATACCAAGGCATGAAGCAAGAACTACTCGAAAAACGCACTAACATTATACATACAATATACCTACATAATATATATAGCTTGCGATACGCATAATTCAAACCTTGGTCCGTCAACCAAATGTATTATGGTGCAATTTTTCCATTTCGGAATAATCCGATGGCCACTGTAAATTATTCATTTAAATGCGGCGACGACCTGTGTTCACGGCCACGTGTTATTCAAATTTTGAGACGAGACTAAAAATAAACGTAAGCCTATTCAAAAAAGGAAAGAAAAAATGTACCTACACATATTATTGCGTAACGTTTTCTCGGCTTATAAGTTTCCAAAGACTTACGATGTATAGGTATAGAATAATATGTATTTTAAAATGCGTTTAACCAGACACACACTTGCAGCAGCAGACGTTATTGACGTAAGTATATATTATACATTATGTTATGGTTAGTGCCGTTATATTGTTACCAGTAAATTTTTGCATAAAACGTTGCAATATTCGTTTTCCATAAAGACATCGATCGAAACGTGCAAAATAAACCTAAGACTAAGATCAAGTAAACCGCAAAGTGTAATAATTGTTGATATTTGATTATAATGTATTTAGATTTTTTTCTTTTAAATTTATTCGTTCATATTTATACATGTAATAATATATACGTTGTGTATATGTGTGTATGTTCTAGTATGTGTGTCTATACCTTGTACATATTATACATCAGATCATTTTGTTCCATATCACTATTAACATAATACGATTAACACGTCGTTATAGTGTAAAAAGAAAATTCTCGATCATCGAACTAAACGTATTTATGACAAATAGCTCTTAACACTTAAATTGTTTTATTTCTTCGACTCCCTTGGACGGAAGTAGCGGGAACTATTTTCCAATTTTTCGGTGCATAAACTGAAGCAGTGTTATTAATTGTCGTTTGTCAACATTTCCCCGGCCATCCAAAAATTAACTATCTACAACGACGATTTCAGAGGGAGAATCAGTTACTGACAACTTTAAATTACGTCGGTATATGACTTCAACACCCCTTCGTACTTTTGATGCAGTGGCATGACGAGGGCGCGTACTACATAGTTTACTGTTCGTATAGTTCTATAAA